GTAAAGTAAGCACCACCACAGTCCTTAAGCATAGGCATGCTTTGTCACGCACACAAAAACCTATTGAGAGGTTTCTAAATTGTAAGGATAAACAAAAGGGCCAATCATCTCGGTAGAGGAAAATTAACAAAAGATAACGTATAAACAAAATGAGAAAAATAAGACGCTTCCTTATGCTGGCTGTTGCTCTGCTTTCCTCCGTTGAATGGCGTCTGTGCTGACAATCCAGCATCTCATCTTTCTTCCTTTGCTGTGAACCACATTCCCTTCCCCCCCGAGACTCGAGAGTAATCTTTGTCACTCCTTAAGACAGGAAGTCCGGGTACAGTCGAGGCTTGAATGCAACCTTTTCAAAACTGACATCTAATTTTAGAATCTGTGGTATTTCGCGGAAAGGATTCTCAGCTGTTATAGGAGGCCTTTGAGCCTTTCTTTTTGTGCAACCACGTGAAGCCCAATTTTTAGAAAACGGGGGGTGACTTGGGACACTAACAGTTTGCAACAAACTTCTGGAAAACTAAAATCTGAGAGGCCCAATTATCAGAGCATATCAGGGGATGTGCTTTTTTTTTACGCAGGTTTCAAGTCTATTGTCATGTGTGCCTGAGTACAATGAAATGCTACCTTGAATATTCCCTGGTAAAATATGACAATACAAATTGTTGGAGACATGAAGATAAAACAATAGCATATTTTACGCAAAGGGTTGTGGGAGTATGGAACAAGCTTGTTTTTGAAACTGATAGCCTGGCTTCTTTCATAAAATGGCCGGATGAGATTTTTGGATCAACTAGCTACTAACTACTACCAACATGGCTAAGGTGGGCAAAACAGTCTCATCTCTTTTGTAATCTTTCTTATGTTCTTAAATTTAGTCTTGAAGCAGAAATCCTATATTTGAATACCATTTAACTATGTGGCTTAAAAACACCATTATGTGGTAAACAATATGAAACAGGCTATGGGTTTTTTTTTAATTATAAAACAAATCTATTCGAATTGGAGCACGAAATTGATCATTTCTGGCCACGTTAAAAAAAAACACACTTGTTTTATCTGTTTCTTGAAGAGATGTGCCTGTCAGTATTTTGAGTGATGGTCTGTTGTACTACAAAAATAAGAGTTATCATTCCAAAATGTTATTTTCTAAAGAGTAATCATTGTACTAGGTTGTAGTAGTGAAAAGACAGAACTGTGTGGCTGACTTTGTTTTTAAAGTTTTGACCTAAATTTATATTCATTTTTAAGATCAGAATTAATGTTGCGTACTGCGCCTTGAGTGAAAGTTCGTCTTTGCGGGCTGCAAGTTTATATGAGCCTCTGGCGCAGGACTGTGGCATTTGAATTTCCTTCAGTCATACTGCTGATGTGAGAATAAATTCTGTTTGTCACTAGGCTGTTGTTAAAAGAAATAAAATCTGTGTTGTTTGTCGCTCTCGGGCGCTTTCTCCGGCGATGGCTGACATGCGACTTGACAAATGCGAACTCGGGGAATTTTTCAGCAGCGCCACGGGTGACCTCTTCGATCGCACCTGGCAAATCAATCCAACTGCGGCTCGTCGTCGATCCTTTCCAGCACTTGTCTCTTTGGTTCCTATTCAAATTCGGTGGTTTTTTTTTTCCTTTCTAAATGGAAAGCAGGAAATTCAACGCGTTTTCCTGTCTTCGGTGGTGTGTTTCCACGGAAAGACGTGAAGTATCTCCCTCTGTCGCTCTCTGCGTTTGCAGGGTGAAAGATTTATTACTAACGTCGTGGTTATTTTTTGCGAGGCATTTTCTCAATCACCGCCCACAGCTGACAAATTATACTCAATAGGGTTGACAGGACGACTTTCGCTCAGCTGTGCTTAACTCAGTAATATAACTCCTTTTGCACCCATGTATGATTACAGTGAAGTATTACAGTGAAGTATTTCACTCCCAAGGTCTTTTTAAACGAAAGTATTATTTTTGTCTAAAGTACAGTACACCGTTGCTTACTAACATCCACAGCATTCACTGACTGAAACAGCAGTGCAACTATTATCCAGGGGCGACATCTAAAGGTGTATCTGCACATTTGCAGTTTCGGCTTTTCCAAGATTAAACCATTCCCTGCGCTCGGAGCGATTTTGGCCGGGGGATGCCTGGAGTTTGCGTCTCCTCCCCGTGTTGTCCGTGGTTTTCTCCTAGCCTGCGAGGACACAGGGGCTGGGTCAACTGCTGTCTTATAATTGTGTGTGGTTTCTCCCTGCGAGAGGTCCAGCCGAAGCTGCAGTTTAGCCGTGCGCCTCCTGGGGCAGGTTCCTGGTTACTGCGGTCCTTGCCAGGAATAAGGGACTTACTGATGATGGAGGGAGGTTTTACTAGGTACTGTAGGATTCAGTGCTCAAAATGATATGATTATGCTTAGTGTAATTCGTCGATATCATAATCTGTAATATATCGTAATTCTGAGTTTTTAAGACTCAATTCTGAGTTTTTAAGACTCAATTCTGAGTTTTTAAGTCGCAGTTGCGAGATATAAAGTCGCAATTCTGAGATGCAAAGTCGCAGTTTTTTTTTTATACTCCCTGGTTGGAAACAGGATTCCAGACCTTAACGCTGCCTGCGTGAGAAAGATATAAAAATCGTTTCATATTAATATCCCATCAACTCAAACTCAAACCTCACACGGACCTGCTCGCCGGTGGATAAAACGATCCCATGAGCAGCAGCGCAGGCCTGCAAGCCGACGCGCAACGTGGGCGGTGACGTCACCGGTAAGCGGAGAGGTGAAAGGTTAAAGCGGAGGGTGAAAATGGCGGCGCCCAGGGGTGCGGTGGTGCTGAAGACGGTAAAGAAACTGGTGGTGCAGTTTTGCCCGTTTGAGTCCAATGTTCGCTCTGTGAGGTACGAGACTGAAATGAATGTTTAGGTGCGAGTGATTTCGCCTTCTGAAGGTTGGGCAGTACTTTATGGTTTAAAACGTTTGCTTGCCGTGGCCGGGAAGTATTTCTTTCCTTCAGAAGTGTTTTTTGTTTTGCGACGTAGTAGTGTAATAAACTTTAGTGTAATAAAGGCAAAGATAGCGAGCTAAATGTTTTTGGCGATGCGTGTGTCTTTAGTTTCAAATGCATGTGGCAGCTCGTTGGATATAAGGCTTAAATATTGGGGTTTGTATAACCAGTGTGCTTCAAAATTATTTTAAAATAATCATTCAACATTGCTACGCATTTGATACAACGTTTATGTAGTCTAGGTACACCAAAGAGACAACATTGTAAGAAGCCTTGGCTCTTTAAAGCTTTTAAATCGCTTCTGATAACCTGAGGTCATTTTTGATTCGTATTCCTCTTCTTATCAGTTTTTCTTGCAGTAAATTCTTGTATAACATATTTGAACATTCATTAAAGAGGAGACTCCATCGATAAAGTGGTACAAACAGCCCTCGCCCTATCTTTTAAATTGTGTCGTCTTAATGCTGTGTAACGTGTATGATTAAAACATACTTGTAGGTCACAAAAACATACGTACCCTGTCGGCATACCCCAAAACGCATCTTCCCATTTGTGTCTACCACTTTGAAAACACGGAAAGTTATTCTGTAGTTGTCCAGGCACTTTGCTCTTTCCTTTTGATGATGTGTTCAGGGAGAGTGAAATAAAATATCAAATGGGAAAATCATTAAGTGAATATAGAAATATGTAAATATATAAATTTTATATGGTCAGATAATTTATCAAAGATTGATATGCCAATAGAATGTTTTTTTTCCTGCAAGAAATTTGGAATCTTGAGGAAAATCTCCTGAATGTTTTGATAGCTAAGAGCTTACAGTTACTGTAAAATGTTACTGTGCATTACATTCAGTTTGAATTTTTTTTCCTTGAAAATAAAGCATTTGTATTTTCCCTGATCAAAACTGGCCAAACATGTAGAAATGTCCTCTGGATTCATGTTTTTTTGTGGTCAGATTTGTAATCCAGTTTCTGTTTTAGTTTGCAGTAATGATTTTGGTTGATCATTGGTTGAGCTCCAATTTTTTCTACCACAAGACTGTGCGTGATTTTGTCATTTAGGGAGTTTCTTGCTGTGGTTGGAACTGAAAAGGCCAGATCAACAAATGCCAACTGTGAAGTAATAGCAGACGTGAAGCATGACAGATCAGATCCCATTGTGGATGTTACCTTTGGTAAGTGAAGTACAGACGCTTTCATGTAGTGATTTGAAAATGTAGTGATTTCAGGAATTAAACTGAATATTGTAGATGACTATTTCATGGGTTGGTAATGTCCTCAATGGATCAAAGTGATAAATGACAAGTGTTAGGGCAACAGCAATAATAAAGAAGGAAAGGAGAAGGAAACTTAATTAAGCTGGGAGCCGAGTATGTGATTTCCTGTCACAGTCTGAGGAACAGTGAACCTGTCTCTCGGTGATGTTCTATGATTCATGTCTGTAAATGTTGAGTTGATTTGTATATGCTTTGGCAACACTGTAATTCATCGAACATGCCCAATAAGCTCAGTGAATTGAATTGAAATTGAGTAGTGGTGGGCAGTGCATGGGTACGACAGTGCTGATGCTGTTCCCTCACTGTTCCTGGGTACTGGGTTTGATTCCAGGTGGGGGGTAGCTTTTGTGTGATGTTTGCATGTTGGAAATGGCAGTGTGCTTGACATACTTTGGGTGTGAAGTTTTAATATTAACGTGGATGTTTACATAGCAGTTCTGCATAAGCAAGCTTTTTCCTGCGTTTCACGTGATAGCTTAAATCAAAAGAAAAAATTAATTGTTAAGCAACAATGTCTTGAAACATCAGTGATCAGCTCTTTTTCCGGACCTTTCTGGTATGTTGAGAAAACCGCATCCACAGTGCTGGTTTGCAACAGTCTGCACTGTTTATTCAAAAGTGGCTTATACTGTACCTGCAGTGGAGATGTAAAATGCATATTGCAGATGTATGTCTTACGGCCAAAAAGAAACTCAGTAGGATCCAATAGGTTTGATGCATTTTTCAGTTCCAGTAGGTTTGATGCCTGGCCTTGTGATTGAACGTTTGCACGTTGCTTTGTGAAACTCCCCTCACCCAGAGAGCACAGGGGAGGATTGGTGTCCCCGTGCACAGGGGAGAGAGCGTTCTTGGGAGCCACCTGGAGTTGTGTAACCTTGCCGTGTTGTCCTGCAGCTGATGGGGAGAGGCTCGTGATGAAAGCAGCAAACCTGTCCAGCACAGAGATGCTGTCGGCCCTGAGGTCCCGGTGCTTGGAAAAGGACCCCCAGGCGAAAGAGGGAGCCAAGATGTAGATGTGTTCCTTCTGTACATGTGTAAATAACGTTGTGTGTGAATTGTTCCATTTCGTTCAAAACGAGAGACTTGTTCTTCTCATCAATAAAATATAAGTCCACTTATTCAATCTGTGTAGACTGCTGTTTTGTTCTGTTATGACAATGCACAATTATCCCATCATCTTATAAATTATAAATATTTTATGCGAGCTTTTCATGTAGCGCAAAGTAACACGTGCTATGCACCAATTTAACCAGGCCAAACTAAGCTGTCGTAAAAGTACCCGTTTACAAGTAGGTTTATTTGAATGAGTAAATATTTACTAATTTCTCCCTTATTGTAGAATGGGGATTCCCTCAAGTACATGTATAACTTACAAGTCCGCATTTGACATACACCTCAAAGTCGCGAGCCGCTGGTCATCTAGATTATAGCCGCATAAATTTAGAATAAAATAGCACAATTTATTCCAGCATAAGCTGATGTCCAGCAGTCTGGTCTCCACTCAGATAAGTGTTCTAATCAGGTTAGACAGTTCCTCTGATACAAAAACCCTAATCCAGGATTTGCTTCTTCAACAGAGTGGTTTCACAGGTAGAGGTTCAATAAAGCTGCCAGCCTACATATTCACATAGTGATTGGATTCGCATAGGATTGAAGATTTTTTTTTTAAAGGCGTGTAACGTTTTTGATGAATTTCCCTGTCATTTGCTCTCCTTGCCAGTAGAGGTCTATCACTTCAAGTCTTTGTTGTAAACGGCGCAGCTACTGTATATCAATCAGCATTTCGGTTTGTTTTCGACCAATCGTCAAGCTTTCCGGCAATCGGATTGATGTTTACAAAACATTTCTATTTTTGTTCCAATTACCGACAGTACTTTGTGATCAAGACATTGTCTAGGTTTTATGAAATACGTCTGCGCAAGATATTTTGATTCGGAATTTCCTTTATAGTGTCTACGCTAGTGAGTGACATTTTAGAGGAGCGTAACCGTGATGGTCTTTTTAGAGACACATTTATACCATGCAAATATAGACTCACACCTGAAGAGGAAGCATTCCATAAACATCCATGCCAACTTATTAGATACAAATGTTGACTGTATAAATTGTGAGATAAAGAACGCCAAGCCAGTGAATTAAACGTGGTGCAGTGTTTGGGGTTTAACCAAACATAGACGTTGTAGCAACGGTACAGACGTGACCTCACTCATACAGTAGTTTAGGTTTACAAATGTCAACAGAAGACATTTTCTAATTGAGAAATCAGTGTCTTATAAAATGAGCATAAACACGAAAGTGCAGATATGAGTAAGGAATGGTGTCCAGATAAGGCTTTGCAAAAAAGGTCAATACCACAGAAATAAAAAAAATGCGCAGATTCTTAGTGCAAAGTGGTAGTTCTCGTGGATGTGGGATGACACGTGAAGCAAGACCAGCACGAAAGGGTACAGGCGCACAGCTATCCTAACATTTTTTTTAATGCATTTTCCTACACACGGAGATATTGACGCGAAAGAATGCGGTCAGATGGCGCATCGCGAAACGCCTAACCTCTCAGCTGTGGATTAAGCAATGGATCACGGTCGGCTACGCTTGTGTTTCATGTGTCACATGTTTGAAACCCTCGCCACAATTGCACATTTCTCTCGTTTCTCCTTCCAAAGTTGCGCTGCACTGAAGGGTCGGCGCCGCCTGACGTTTGATTTCGCCATTGGCTTGCCTGGTGAGACACGTGCCGGAGCAGGTCCCTTTAAATACTACAAGCGCGGTGCGCTGTCGCATCTTTTGTAGACCTGGTACAGTTTGTTTCTGAATAGAGCCGGAGCTGAGCACTGGAAAAATGGTCGACAAATTTGTGGGGACGTGGAAAATACTTGAGAGCGACAAATTCGACGAGTATATGAAGGCTTTGGGTAAGTGCGTTCTTTTTTTATTTGCGATTTTTTTTTTTGGCGCAATAAACATATTTTTTTTTTCCATGGAGCGCACAAAATGTGCATATACCGCCTGAGAACGAAGTAACGCGTTTAATCAGAATTCTGGCCACTTGGCCGTTTTTATTCAGTGATAATTACTTCTATAATTACAGAAGAGATTGTTTATTCAATGGCAAACATGGCCAAATTCAATCATTCTAAGGCGATATTGCTCTAATACATGTGGATGCAGTGTACTGCAATGCATCTAAAAATGGTTTTAAAATGTCACCTGTTTTATTTTGTTTCTGTAGGCGACACTTAGGTCACTTCTTTAACGTATATAAATGCACCGGGTGCGACAGGGTTTTTGCCTGGTGTCGAAGCACAGTAGCTGACCCGCTGTTTCTCATTCCGCAGGTGTGGGTTTCGCGACCCGCCAGATGGGGAATATGGCCAAGCCTAACTTGCTGTTCAGCGTGGAAGGCGACGTTATCTGTATGAAATCCCAGAGCACTTTCAAAACCACCGAGGTCAAGTTCAAACTAGGAGAGGAATTTGAAGAAACAACTGCAGACGACAGAAAAACCAAGGTGGGTGTGACTCCCGGGGTCTGCTGTCCAGCGCGCATGAAGCAGACAGCCCGAAGGGCTCCTCACGCCGCACACGTTCTCTCCTGACAAAAAGGAAGAACACGACCGATCTCCTTTCCAATTTACAGACCACGATTACTTTGGAAAACGGGAAGCTTGTGCAGAAACAGTGTTGGGACGGCAAACAAACCATGATCGAAAGAGAAGTGATCGACGGAAAATTGATCGCGGTAAGAACGCCTGGACATCGATACTTCTGTGGAAGACGCATCTTTAGTAATGATCCGTAGTTTCATCTTAATTAGCCAGCTCATTTAGAGCTAGTACCAATATTTGCAAACAGACTCGTATCTTAGTTGCTACATGTTCGCCTCTATAGTAATGCATTTGCTTTGACAGTATATGCCTCCTTAGAAATGGCTGTTTTTCCCCCCAGTATAACTGCTATACTACGAATATGACAGGGAAATAATCTCTGCGTCGGAGGTTGCTCTGTGGATTGTGTGCTTTGCCGATATTTTGTCAATAAAACGCCCAAAATGATCTATGAAGCCAATTTTCCTTGAAGAGCCAGACTTTTTTTAGATTTAATACCGTCATCTTTCTGGAGTTGAGATCAATTGTTACAGATTTTGACCTGGTTTGTTTTTATAACGCTTATAATGCATTCAAATACAGGTACATCTGTAGTATTGTTGTTGCAGTTTAGCAGTCTGAAACCAAACATTTACATTGTTGCCACAAACCTGGCCAGAAACCGTTTTTGGTTATTGTGCTCTAACATTTCACATTGTCTTGTAGAAGTGCATCATGGGAGATGTTGTGGCGGTAAGGAAATATGAGAAAGAAGCTTAACCGTATTCAGCTACCGAGGAGGCTGGATTTTGAAGACACACCGGCTCAGTTCAATGAGCAAAAGGCTAATACACTGCTCTCTTCCTGCTCATTTTTGTAACACCAAAATAGTCGCATCATACCAATGTATTTTTGTTTTGAGAAGTGGTGCATTCAGTATTAATTGCCGTGATTCTTAAATAAAACTTAAAATGTATGTATTGGTTGACTTGTGTTTTTTTTCCCCTCCCCAACACAATCGCCAAAAACACACAAATTGGGGTTTACCTTCAATGAGGGTACTGTATGTCTGCATACACGTGGCTTCGTTTTCGGGCTTAGATGAATAGACCTGAACAAATCAGGGGGTGTTTAAAGTTAGGATGTCTCATGGGTTTACAGCAGTGGAGAGAGCTGGATTTGTAGCATTAATAATGAATAATTTTTGCTTACACTTCTATAGTGTCACACAATGGCCTGAGGAAGGCCAAAAGAGGGTTTGTTTTATAAAAGAATGGCTTCACCGCAGAGCACTCAGGTGAAGTAGGTGCAGTTTATTCACAGTGCTCCCCGTTCCCCACACAAGAAAAAAACCCCAAAAAGGAACAAAAATAATCCTTTAAAGACAAATCTTCCTGCAATTACTCTTCTTGCCTTCTCTCTGATTTTGGTCACAACTACCTGACTCACCAACTGACTGATTCTACCATCACAACATAACATCACTTTATTGGCCCTGTACAATTTCTCGCATTAGGAATTTGTCTTTTCACAGACCCCAGCTTGCTCTCCATGAGACACACAGACAGGGAGAGAGAAGCTTGGGGTCAGAGTGCAGGGTCAGCCATTGTACAGCATCCCTGGAGCAGTTGGGGTGAAGGGCCTTGCTCAGGGGCCCAACGGAGTAGGATTCCTCTGCCAGCTGCAGGATTTGAACCAGCAACCTTCCAGCCACAGGTGCAGATCCTCAGCCACAGAGCCACCGATCCACCCCATTATTAGGCTGAGGAGCCGGCTTATATAGTATGTAAGCACCTCCCCCCTTTGGAACAAAACATTTCTCCAAATTCCACAAATTCTACATCAATTATTATCATAATAACACACAGTTTACATTATCCCAGTTCAAATAGACATCAATACAAACAATAACATTTGCCCCTCTTCATATCCATAAATACACCTTTAGAAGTGGGATTAGGTTTGGACTTCTGTGGCCACCATAGGCTGACCCATCCCGGAAGTACCAACAACAAACAGTGAGTATCAGTGATTCAATACTCACTCATACCCATATTTAAGTATATGTTTTATGTATGTGAAATGAAGTTTAAGCAGTTACAAGTTAAGCCTTGAGTGTGCACCCTCAGGAATTTATCTAGCAACTGCTCAACTGAGGGTGTATGAATAGTGTATTTCCTGTGCTACCTGTACCTCGTGAAAGGCTCATCAAAGCGCTTTACAGGTAAAGGGGATCCCCTCCACCACCACCAGTGTGCAGCCCCACCTGGATGAAGCAACAGTAGCCGTAGTGCACCAGTACTCCCATCACACACCAGCTCTCAGCTCAGTGAGGAGCAGAAAGAGTGATGGAGCCAGTTCAGAGACGGGGGTTATTAGGAGGCCATGATTTGGCCAGGACACCAGGGTTACACCCCTACTCTTTTCGAGAAACGCCCTAGGATTTTAATGACCACAGAGAGTCAGGACCTCGGTTTTACATCGCATCCAAAGGTCAGCACCTTTTTATAGTATAGTGTCCCCCTCACTATACAGGGCATTAGGATCACACAAACTGCAGGGTGAGCGCCCCCTGCTGGCCCCACTAACACCTCTTCCAGTCAGCAACCTTAGTTTTTCCCAGGAGGTCTCCCACCCAGGTACCGAACAGGCTCACACCTGCTGGGCTTCAGTGGGCTGCCAGATGTGAGTTGCAGGGTGACATGGGCTGCCAGATGTGAGTTGCAGGGTGACATGGCTCCTGGCTTTCATTAGCATGGAAGCCCTCTCCTAGGGCTTAATTGTAAGTGAGACAGGAGGCGTGTGCAGTGTGTAGCTTCTGGGACATGACTGCAGAACCACAAAGGCAGTTCAGTAACACTGAGGCTTTGTTCTGCAGCTTCAATGGATGAGCCAGCTGGTAACTCACCCCCAACAAAGGCAAGATGTGGTTCGTTTTGAAACCACATTAAGAAGAAAAATGTGAAAGGTTGTGGTTGATGGTGTAAAGTATCACCACAGAGTAAACAATATTTTTAAAGTTTCTTTGTAGTTCTAAAATTCAGAATGCCCAGATGCCAAGCCAGAAAAAAAAAACTGCTAATAAGTCCCTAAGATCTGAATAAGTGCTTCTAAAGTTATGTCTTGCGGCAATTCATTTAACGTTGTTAATTATAGTCTAGTTCTACCGACAAAAAGGCATTTCTGTTCTGAAATGCCTTGACTGTATTACAGTGTTTGTTTCCAGTATCTATCAGAGCATTTTCTTATCTGAAAAAAATGGAACTGGTCATTCCAAATGAAAGCACTTTTGGCCCTCAATTGAAAAAAATATCAAAGTGTCTTATTCCCGGGCCAAGCAAAAGCTTCAGCTCACCAAATAATTGCAGATTGTGTCCCCACTGGTTGATGGTGGATTTGCATGAGCAAAAGTGGATTTGTGCAAAGAAAGAGCTGTCACCCCGTACTGGATCTGCAAGGCTGTAGCTTTGAACCAGGCCTCAGTCCTCTAAGTCTTAGCGCCTCTGTCTTAAACTGTAGATGATAGAATCATATACATTTCTCCAATAATATTGCTTTAGCCATTTTGCATTGCTGACACATCATTTCAAAATGTGAACATTTTTCCCAGACTTGGTTGTGTTGACTCAGAAAACAAAAACGTTTATTTCCAGATTGTAGTAGCTACGTAGGAACATAGACTGGAACTTGTAAAAGTAACAGCTAGTACTAAGTTAGAAACTGTGTGATTAAGAGTCAAGGCTCAGACCTAAATCACATGGGGAATGATATGACTCATCAGCTGGGGACCTTAGAAGATAAAAACATGAAGTTTACAAACAAGAGGAAGCCATTTGGCTTGTCATAATGCCTATTTAATAAGAATAAGAAAAAGATCTAAAAGCAATATAATTAACAATGTGTTTCACATTGTAAATGGCCAACCAGCAAAAGCCTCATTCTAAATAAATTGTTCTGAGCTTGGGCGCCCCTTGTACAGATACACCCCTGGTGACCTGATCAAACATACGCCCTTTTGCACAGCCAATTTGTTTATGAAAGTCTGTCTAAACGTTACAAGACAAATGCAGTGGACACATGACACACACAGGAGGACAGAGTTCATTGGAACCATGAGTCAGGAAGAAACTGACATTCCAGAAGATTTAGGTCAGCAGTGGATATTTCATTTGCTAATTTGTCTGAGGACTGTGATAACGGATTGTTATTATATATTAGGAGAAGGCAGGAAACTGAAGAACATTCAAGAAACGTTCTCTCTGCAGTCCCATGATTTTCGAGACTGCATTTGGTGTCACTGCGTCTTCCCCGCTTGGAATGCCTTTCCAGAAGTCCTGCAACAGCAGCACTCCGGAATCTCCTCTCCCACTCTTTGCATCGTGACCCATGGCTCCACAAAGGCTTAGTGTGTTGACACCACCTCCTCCTCAACACACCCTGTCTCCAGTTTGCTCTCCACAGCTCACTCCCCCAAGAATCTGTGGACAAAAATAAATACTGGGTCAGAAGTGCATTTTGCTACGTTTCATACAACAACCAGAAAAGGGCAAGAGTGAAAGATTTTCTGTAAGAAAAAAAAAACAACAACGTGGCCTTCTATTTGCGCTTCTGAGATTAGCTGTTCTTTCATTTCCTGGTTCTGCCCAGATATAGAGACACGAGGATCGAAGTGACATCAGAGCCCGTTATCTTGGGTCAGAATAAAAGAAATCTACTTCTGGTTCACTCTTTGAATTCCAGTCTTCAACCTCATGTCACGGATGTCGGAAAAGACGAACCGTGGAACGACAGGAGAGCAGAAAAACACCCTATGCGTAGCAACGGGACAGGGATTAGCCCAGGCTCAGCAGTTAAGGAGTCATCTAGAAATCTGTGCCCTCAGGCAGCGGACGTGGGGCGACCTGGTGCTAGGTGGGTCTCTGGACATCTGAACCTCAATGCTGAGCAAAGGGGAATGAGTGACCCGGAAATATATATCCCCAGAGAGAGAGACACCGGAAGGACAGCAAAGCACAGGAAACTAGGGACAGTACAGAGTGGGAGCTGCAGAGAATGTGACACCTCAATGTTTGTGCACTAAGACAAGAAGATTGTACTTGTTCCCCATAAGTCTGTACTCAGAATTACAGGCCGTAACTGTGGGCAGTAAGGAAGACCTTTGGTGATACAATTAGAAAATGAGTGATGTGAAAGTTTTAGACACCTTTCTTGGTTGAAACACTAAACAAGCAAACGGTACAGGTTGTCTATGCTTATAAGGTGAGAGTGTCCCAAATATGGTAACGGTACATACCGTCTTCCTTCAGTTCACTGTTCAGCTCTGTTTCAGCAAGGCTCCTGTTACGTGTTTTAATATGGTATTAAAGGGAAAAATGTCCCTACTGACCTTGGACTTTTTTTCCCTTTTTTGCGTGCATTCTGCATCCGCACTAGAACCAGCAAATGTGTTTTTGTGCTTTCAGTCCTCCAGAGAGTTTAACCTTTGGCTCAAATGCAGTTAGAGAGGCTCGTTACTGAACTGGCCAAGAGAGAAAGTTCCAGAGCAGGAAAACATGCAGATGCTGATTATAACTGACAGAAAAAACAGCCGAAGGAGGTAGAATAGCATGCATCATTTCCCCAAAACAAATGACTTCCTACAGAATACAATGTGTACACGAGCTGTCCTTGCTGTGTATAAAGTTGACAGTAAAGTGTACACAATGCACAAAGTCAATTGATCACAACTGCCACTTCTCGTACAGTTGTGGACCCCTGTGTTAGACAGAAGAAGACCCGTCTATAGATTTGATCTAACACCACATCTCAACCACACACCCAATGAATGGCAATCGAAATCCAGTCAACAACTGTGCTTGGGTACACTGTAACGTTTAACACATGCATATGTGTTGCTATAAAACCTGTGAAATTATTGCAAGACTAGTTAATCAAGCATCATGCCAACAGGTTCTTATTTATGCCTTTTGTAGACTG